AAACAGTCTGCTCAGTTCTTTCCTCTGCTAACATCTTGCCCAGAGCTAACTTGCAGCTTCACTCTGTCAGCTGTAAGATATAGATATACTGTTGTCTTAATTACTCATATTTCTCCTGCTGCTCATAATTCTGCTTGTTCCACCAAAGAGCTCTTCAGAGAGCTTTACTGCTTCCCTTTCCCTTTCTTTGGGGGTTTAAAGGTTGTCAGATATATAAACGATCCTTGTTGCAGAGCTTTGGTGGTGACAGTGTCCTTTGTGAAGAAGATTTAGGGGGATGGGAGAACTAAATACAAATGCTTTTAGACTACATTTCTGTGGAAGGAGAGAATACACGTAGTGCTACCTTGCATAACAGCATCAGGGAGTGTGTTTGGCAAATCTCCTATTTAATGAATAGCTAGTCAGCTGTTTCTTCTGCAGCTTGAAGTGTAGATGCTGATTGTCAGGAGTAGGATTTTCTTTACTCTCTCCCTCTCTCCATGACTGGCTATCCATGGCTGTATCTGTCCAACTGCTATTCCTCTAAAAATAATGTTGAAAAGGGACTGGAAACTTAAAAAACCCAACTCTGTGCCATATTGAAACTGTAGTCCTTTGTGGTTTCACCTTTCTCTTTTATGATTGTATGCCATTGTTTCTGTTATCTATATTAATTAATCTGTCTGCTACCACAAGTATTGCATGTTGAGCAACCTAGAGTAGACTGGCAACATGATGTCCATGTTTTTTTGGCAAAGATTTGAACAAGTTTTATCATGGAAGCGAGCTCTGTAATGGGTTACACCTTTGGCCAAAGTCCTTCACTCCTGACTGTTTGAAGTCCCCTCTCAATTTTAACAGACCTCATCTTAATACAGCAAGATACTTCAGAGGCAGAATATATCTTAGTATTCAGCTGGTTGTCTTAGTTCACCTGGATGACAGGTTCAGGAAGCAGTATTGTAAGTTTATGTTAATCTCATAAATTATGAGCCTGTCAAACAGCTGCAGTTGAACCTGTTTCCATCATAAAGCTTGTTGATCTGGCGGCGTGATTGAAAATGGGACTGGGCAGGGTGAGCTTTCCACAAGAGGGGCTTAAGCCCTCCAGTCCAAGTTTTGCTGTGGTTGCTTTTTAATAATCATTTGGTGTAAATGCTGCACAAGTATTTAGGAAGAAAGGTTTCAGCATCAGAACAGTGAGCGATGTCAACACCAAAGATAACACACAATTCGTCAGGGTTTAAACTGACCTAATAACAGTAGTAGGCAAATAAACAACAGGCTGGAGTAAGTAATGACCAAACTCTTCCAGTAGCACAGACATGACTAAAGAGTCTGTTAGAGGAAGCAAATGGAAATAGATGAGAGAATTCAGTAAGAGGAATTAGAAATAAAGAGTAATTCTGTTCTGCGTGGAGGAATAGCATGGAGAAAATAGCTCTTCAAGTTAGTGCTCTACTCTTGAAGAGCTGAAAAGGATAAGAGTAGCTGTCTTGGACAAGTCAAGTTTCAGACAAGGTCACGTGAGTTAGGACACATGGAAAATCCATGCAAGTGGTAGCTCATTTCAGAGCATCATCTATAGGAAGCTCATAGTCAGGGAATACAGCCTGAATAACACGCAGTACAGGTCCAGCCCCAAGATTGGACAAGAGGGATGATGAAGTTGTCCCTGATGTTTGCCACAGACATTTGTTTGTTGTGGAGCGAATGGACACACGGTCTGTGATGCTCGGCATGGGTATCTGCACCTCTCCCATCTACAGGGCCAAGCTCATCTAGGGGCAGGCTGCCCGAACATCTCATTCACCTTTGCAGAAAAAGGCACTAGAAGGATACAAGGAAGGACTCTGGGAAGCTGGCAAGGCCCTGGGGCCACCCGTTCGGCCTGATGCTACTGCGAGGGCTGATGGCGTAGCTGGAAACTGCAGAGTGCAGGTGGCAAGCAGGTATTTCGCTCTATTTGCTCAAGATTTCCTCTTGGCGTGCCAGCACGGTCTCCTGAGAGCAGCTCTGAGGACATGGTGGTTGGTTAAGTGGGTGGTCAGGCAGCTGCTTTGGCACCTAGTCCATTCTAGCAGCTACTCTGCACTGAGCAATTTCCTGCCCAGCGCATCTGCAGTAATGTTGGACAAACAACTTGACCTTGTGCCTCAGCTTTCCAAATGTAAGGATGTTTCTCTAACTCCTCTTTACAAACCCAAGGGGTGTTAAAAGAAGTAGGTCTCATGACTGTGTGGTACTTGGATGCCATGGTAATGTAATTAGTTGCACAGCGATCTTACTAAAAATGTCCTTGGTGAAGGAGGGGACAGGGTGGGGGACTCATTTAGAGGATGGATGTTAAAGGGGAGGAAGTTTCCAGACCTGTGGGATTCACCACAACTTGTCTGCACAACACAGGTCCTTCAATGCAAATGTGAATCCAGAGGTTCAGAGCATAATGTTTACTACACATGTCTGTAAGGAATATAATGCAGCACAAACTATTTGAAGTGTTAATAGATTATGTAACAGCTTTCCTCCCCCAGCAAGCCTTTTGAAATTTTTATACAGTATCTTGGGCTAAAAATCTTTTTGAGCTGATGTACAACTTGCAGTAAACTTCAGGAAAGTATTCCTGTTACCGTTACTTCCTCCTTTTCTCCCTCTTTCTCTTCAATGTTATATATGGATCCAGGAACTTCTGGGCTGCTTAATCGAAAGGAGAGAGGCACAGGGTTCTGCATGGAAATCTGAAAGCCTCAGTGCAGGAAAGCTGTGCTGCTGACTAGTTTATCTCTGTTACTCTGCCAAACCCCCAGAGTTTGGCAGCCTGGGCCTTTTTTGCCTTTTTATATCTGTTAGGTCTTTTTCCTCCCTACCCTTAGAATGACCTTTGTAGCAATGGCTGCCAAATGTTACCCATATTAAATATGAGGATATGTATCAGCATCCACAAGACACATGGTCCTGAGCTGTTAAATCTCTTCTACTGGAGCAGCAGCCTGTGAATTGACTGAAGCTTTTGGAGTTAACACTTTAGGTTTGGTTATCTGAAAGTTATTGTAGCATCATGTCACCAAATTCTTTTCTCAGCTGTATCCTTGCTACTCCAGTGGGGAAGAAATTTGTTTCTGTCGTTTATGGTTAACCCTACTGTACACTTATACAATAAATGATAGTCTATATTTGTGGGTTAAATGAAGATTAACCATAGTAATAAAAAGTAAGGTTTCATAGCAATATTCAGAGTATTTTTTTAAAAGTTAGTTGAGATAATGTTGTGATGTAATGAAGGGAAAACTTGGATTGGGTGGGATTTTGGTGAATTTCTTTATTCAAATATTGCTTTCCTTTATTTAGATTTTCTTGCATGCTAGAACCAGGCACAGCCAGACATATTTTCCATCCTGATGAATGAAACAGATCTCAAGGAGTTTAGCTGCGACTGCTTCCCCTGCAAGAAAGATTGCTCTCTGTTGCCTGAATCATAATCTGAAGGCATGAAAACTATTCATCAGGAAAGCAGCATTTTAACTCCTTACATCTTGCAGCCTGATCTTTGCAGAGTAAAAAACCAAATCCTCGCCCACTGAAGTTGATCACAGTTTGCTTTGGGTTGTAATAAGTATACAAGGTCACCTTGATTACTGTGCATCAGTGTGGTCCTGACAGTATGTTTTTGATAAGACGGTCTATTGCCATGATTTAATCCAAATCTGTTTAATCGTATATAATCCACATAATTCAAATATAGTCACCAAGGATCCAGTTTTATAGCTGTACTGAGGGGAGAGAAAACTTATGTTATCACAAACCATGCTGACATCAGTGGGGTTTCGTATTGATGTAGGACTTAGTGCTGGCACATGCAATTACAGCAAAATTTGGGGTTTAGCATATTTGTAATTTGATGTATTTTTAGGAAGCGGTTGTTCTGAGGTAAGTGAGTAAATGAACTCTGGTCCACGTCCAAGAAAATCTCTGACTGAGAGTTATGTCCTGTGCTTATCCAAGGAAAATATATACAATAATCTGAAGTTATTTGTTGTGCAATTAAAAAAATCATAAATGTTTTGTTTATATTTTTGACTTAGAAATTTCACTTTACACAAACTACAAAAAGAGCCTATGCTCCTCCAGAGGCATTCTGTATTGTTTCAGAAATGTTTCAACTAAAACAAAAGATATTTGTCAACATAAGTAATCCACAGACATTACTGCAGTGTTACTGGTTATAATTTTCATGTTCACGATACCAGTATCAAATCATATTCCATTTGCGTTGCTGTTTTTTAATGTGATGCACATGCAGCTCTGGCCTAATGCCTTATAGCCCTGAATCTAAAAAAAACGTTCAAACCCATGGGTAACTGTAAACATCAGAATAAGCCCGTTGAAGTCAGTCCATGCATCTGTTAACTGCGCAAACTAATCCTTAAAAAAATTATGAAAAGGGTAAAAAGAAAACACCATGCTTTCCAACCCAATGAAACTCCATACATGCTTAAAATAAAATACTGGAATAAATAAATAGTGCATGATTTGAAAGACTGAATCCATACTTGTAACCATGGTTTATTGGTTATCCAGTAAAATCATAATATAAGGTGAACTTTTTTTGGCTTGCATACTGTATCACTTCTGGTGCACTTCTGACTTGACTTTTTTTTTTTTTTTTTTTTTTTTTTGGTGGCCATTTTGCAATTTTCTATGGATTTGTTTTGATTGTAAACAGGCATACACACTAGCTAAAGCCAGATAATTTCTTCTGGCCAGCTTTGCCAGTAAATCACTGAGCTATGTAATTGGGTTTCTATAAAATTATGCATTGTAAACTTGGGAATAAGTAAAACAAAACCAAAAACTTGATTTTTGTAAATAGTATCATTCCCGTGCAAAACTTCTGTTTTGACCTCATTCTTCTACTCCCTAACATGATCATTTTGATCGTTCTTTGAACACTGAACAAAAAGCAAACTACAGAATAAAATCCAAGCAAAACTGGTAATAAATTCTGGTTTGGCTTGTAGGTGGAGTTGAATATAATGGCTGCATTTGTGGTTAACTACAAGCAATATGTTATGAAGATGATGGTATTCAGAGACATACCCAAACAATTTGATTCAGATAAATTGGATACAAGATGTTGACCAGCATGAGAAGAACAGGTGAGAATCCTTGAGAGTGAAACTGAAATAATAAGTATTTTGATGGTCAGGAAAAACATTTCTCCAGTAACGCAATAGATCTTCTATCAGGAACTCAAAATACTAATTACAATCTGCCTATAGACTTATTATAAATGAAGTGGAGATAGAAACATGTTTATATTATGGGGAAGCTTATTTGCAGATGAGCAGGAAACCAGTCACACATCTTCACAAACGTAATTTTAGCTGTTTTAATTAGCAGGTTTGCTTTGATTTAATTTAATTCAGTGATTCCTTCTATCTTTACTGACACATGTGCAAATAAAATGTGCTGACCTGACTTCTGACATCCAGTTTCCTTTTTCATTTCTGTTTTTGTTGTTGTTGATTTCAGCAGTGTTTACAGTGAAATGATGGGGTCAACACTTCCTAACAGCATGGCCAACAGATGTAGTGTGGGGATGACAACTGTACATTTGAGTGGTCTTTTGTTACCCCAGCACTGACTGATTGCTGAGGTGCTGGAAGCCAGGGTGTCAAAGGCCATCAGAAGTCCTAATAGCCTCTAGATTCCAATTCTATTAAGGGTCGGAATGACAAAAAATATGCCTTTTTGTGTAGTTGTGGTAAAAGTACAGCGAGCTTGTTTGTTAGAGAATGAGACACTAGAAAGGAGCCCCATGTGTGCCTTTAGCAACTTATTGTAGCATGTTTGGCAACTTTGGGTTGAAGAGCAAGGTTTAAAAGCTGTCAGAATTCATATATTAAATGTTTAGAGATTTGGTGGTTTTATTTAACAGTGAAAGTAGTTACTGACAGAATAAAAACACATAGTCCAGAATAAAAATACCATATTAGTGTACTGACAAAAAAAAAAGAAATCTGTGTTGAATTTGCTGAGCTTTTTGTTGGTCTGAGTGCTTGGAAACTATTTTTTCTTCTTTATGTTGGAAGAGACAACTGCTAATGCACCAGGTGTTGTTCTCCCTTCTCTCTCAGCCCCTCCCTTTTGCAGTGCCTCACAGCTGTATGATAGGTAATTAAAACAATCACTGAAATGTTTCAAAGCTCTTGTAGGCTTTAGTTGACTTTTAAAATTCGTATTTGAAGAAGAATGGTAAAATTAATTTGTATCTGGCTCAGAAAAGTGCTCTTTACTTGAGCAATGGACTTTACAACATTGCCAACAAAAAGAATGAAATTAATATTATACTTGCCTTTATCTAGGGTTATTCTGTTAACTGTTTTATACTGGAAATTAATTTCAATATCATACAGATGTCTACAAGTCATGAATGCAGCAGTTCTAGCAGGCAGTCAGATAGCTCTCCTACTTCATAATCGTGGTAAAAATAATCATTCAAAAGGAGTAAACTTGCCAGGACAATTAAATGATTCCGCCTCAAGATAATGGAAAGACGAAGTTTATATTCCTGAACTGTAAAATATGTATGATTTAAAAGTGTTATTAAAGAAGTATTATGTGGTTATTTTGAAAAGAACGGTAATTTTACGGGTTCATTTTTCTACTGAAAAAAAAATACTTCAGAGACTGTGAGAAACTGAGACTTCTGGACAGGCAATTTTTGATGTTGAAACGCTCTTCTGTCTTTCTTCCCTGTCTCTATTTTTTGTGTTACAGTTCCCTGCTTCAGCAATAGTCTTTAGAAAACTTGTAATTCATTCATTATGGAATGCTTGGTCTATGGGACAGGATTTAATTCTTAAAATAAACTTCCTTGTAATATATTCTTTTTGATCATTTAAAACAACCCCTCATTTTTACAAATGGATGTGTTACGTCAGTGTAAAGTGGATCCTTTTCTCCCTTTTTGCCCTCCTCTTCTCATTTGTCCCTCTTTGGAGGTTTGTACTCTCTGGTATGGGCAGGAGTGGTGGCAACTGCTGCATGCAGAAAATACAAGTTCAGGAATTTTCAGTATGAATGGAATTGGTTCAGGCTTCAAAATTACTAATTAAAAAAAAGGCATGTAGGATGAAAGTTTTTGCATATCTCTCATTGGTTTGTGAATAATCCCTGCCTGGTATGTATGTCAATATGCATATAGAACAAGTGCTTTTACATGTGTACTTTTGAAAAGCTGACAGATACCAGGGAGCAGAGCTCAAGCCAAAAATATCAGTACTGACAAATTTAAATAATGACTCTTCTCCATTAATTTTAAAATAAATAGCTATTGTTATTTGTGCAAATATTTCCTGTTGATTAAAGACAGCATAATCTCTTCCTCTTTCTTTGTTCCCTTGTGAATATTTCTAACCACACACAGGTATTCCAAACAAATTTACAAATGTGGAAAAGAGTAAGACTTAAATACTCATCTGCATCTTTGCGTCAGCACAACTCAATTTGACAGTATATTTTTGCCAGGTGGAACAAAGAGCAATAAATTAGTTTTGAACATCTAGGATCTTGCATTATAAAGACTGCAACAGACTGTGTTCAAAATCAATTGTCAGAGTGATGGGGGATTAATAACTCTGGTACTGTAACCTTTTATGTATCTGCAGACTGGGTAAGAGCACATTTCAAGATCTGCTGCCATATTTCATTATTGCAACTTATATGTGAAAGACCTTTTTGATGCTTAAAAAAAGAAACAGATAAGTTTTTAGTAGAGCTGGATGAATAACTCATAATTAATTATTAATTCAGTGAATTTTGCCTCTTACTCTGTGGGAAGAATAAAAAAAAAGTTGTCAAAATTTTTCTTGAGTTCTATTGACTAGCTGGTTTTTTTTTTAATAAAAACTAGAAATCAGAATTCAAGGTGTGTTACTTATTTCTAATTGATAAGTCATATGGTATTGGTTTAATTCCCGAATTAACTGAGGACAAATACTAGAATAAATTCCATGATTCCATGTTTTATAAAAGTGTATTTAAAAATCCCTTTCTACATGCATGCAAGCTTGAAATCCGTTTTTGAAAGTGCTATTGAAAGTAAGAATCCAAGTACATGAAAATTGTTGGAAAGGAAATGCAAATGAATCAGGAAAATGGCCAAACCAAGTTCATTACAAGACACAAATGAGTTTCTGTAGGCTTCTGCAGTATTTTCCAGCTGTAGTTTTCCCTTAACTCCAGCACCCATTTTGGGAGAAGTCTACTAAATGCTGGGGATAAATATGGGAGCATGTAAATGAGGGCTTTATTGAATTTCCCTAGCTCCCCAGCTACTGTGTTGTATTTTATAACAGTGAAACTTTTTATAATAGTGAAACTTTTTATAATAGTGAAACCACATGAAGAGTTGTCATATTTTGTCTTTCTTCTCCTCTCAGCTGGCAAGTTTGCATCCCACCAGTGCGAGGTCTATCGGGCTAAGAGGCATCTATGCATTCTTCTGTGTTTTTTTAATATATGCACTTTATTTTGGTTTCTTCTTAAATAGAGGTAAAACAGTTAAATATTTCCCAACAAAATACACATATGTAATCTCAAGGGCCATGCATACCATCGAACTGTCATTTCCTTTGATTAACCTTCACCTGACCTCCCTCCCTAAGGCAGTTTCAGATCCTTTTGTTCCTCCATTTAAGTATTGCACTCTATCAGGTGAGTACATCTGTCATTCAAGAGCTGGCCATTTTACTAGAGAACTCGGTGGAGATGTTGTAAGGGAAAGTTATTCAGGATCTGTCACAGACTAGGCAACCCAGTCTAACGTGCAGAGCTGGTATCATTCGCTGGATGTATCTAGAACTGTAAAGGAAGAAGAGCTTGCATAAATGAAGCTGAAGATAGCTGAATTTTAAGAGTGTATATTAATTGTTTTATGAATATCATAAAATACTTAAGATCAGAAAAGGATCATGACTGAGATCGTCAGGACTTTTTTGTTGCAACTCCTTCATGTCAGGAAGTGCTAGTCTGTGGAGAACAAAATTACTGACAGGGGAGGATCAGAGTTAATGAATCACCACCTTTACAATGGTAGAGTTTGGAAATTGCCATGGTAGTTGATTTTAGCATTTTTAAACCCAGCAGGTTTGTGTTCCATCTCATTTTTATTTAAAATCTACAGATAGCAAGAAAATGAAAATGAAAAAGTCCAGAAGCAATAAAACATTTCAAAGTTATTCACGCCTATAAATTTCACCCGTTTCAAACAGAAATTTTTTTGGGCGGCAGTTTGAAAGAAATGTTAATGCTTTAAGTCACAGCTTGGGACAATTTTAAAATTTTATTTATTTCTTTTTTAATCCTGAAAATTCATCTAGGATAAATAATATGGAACTGAGATATTATGAATCCAGCCAGATAACACATTTGGCTGACAGCAATGAAGAGCAAAGCCTACATCGAATCTGTAGCTTCTGCTTATGTAATAGAATATTTTTTTGAATTATAATAAAGGCCATGTGTGATGAAGTATCCCAAAGCAAGCTGGTGTAGTGTCTCGTGGTGGTTCCTAAGAGCTAAAACTATGCACCTTGATTCTAGGTTTAATTTGACTATTGAATCTCATATCTTTTCCTAATAGATTAAAAATGTGCTATCAGAAGCATCAGCATCATATCAATTCTTATGGATGAGGATTGAATCATTCCTAAAGTCAGTCTCTGATGAATTAAATAGGTTGGACTTCCTTAACATTTCATTATCAGGCACAATTTACAGATCTTACATGATTTTTGTAGATACATTTTTCCCCTTTCCGGGCTTGTCCTTTTTAAATTATGGTTTGAAGTTTGAAGAACAGAGTCTAAGTATGCAACATTTCATGATTTCTACTCATCCCCCAAGATTGTGAGTCTCACTGAAAAATAGTGAGTTTTAAAATAAGAACCGTACCGTAAGATTTTCTGTGCAAATGTTGAATGCTGGATCCATTCCTCTGCAGAGAGTTTATAATCTATATTTTAAGCTTTTATTCATGCTGGCTTTTTTCCCATTCTAGTGAGCAAGTTACATTTTATAACATGTGGAAGCAGACATGGTTACAGATGCAGAGCGGAGATGTTTGTGAGAACTGCCAACATGACAGGGTTGG